ACTGTGCACTAAATTAAATAAAAATGGAATAAAGATTTAGACACTAAAACAAAGACTGAGCCTACTGGGAGATATAAAAGGTAAAATACTTTAAGTCCGAGGTGTTGAGAAGGATTTTTTAAACAAAACTGTAACTGCAAAAGAAATAACAGTAAGAGTCATCAAATGGGATTACATCAAATTAAAAACTTTCTATATAGCAAAAGAATCAATTAGTAAAGAAATAACCTACGGAATGAGAAAATTTTTTGCCAGCTATTACTGACAGAGGACAAATATTTAGGATACATAAATAAAAAAAAAATTAGACCATGCAAAATAAAAAACTCAGGCAAAAAATGGTCATAAAGATAGGTATTTCACAGAAGTGCAAATGGCCAACAAATATATGAAAAAATGCTCAGCATCCTTGGTCATTACAGAAATACAAATTAAAACAATGCTAAGTTTCCATCTTATAGCAGAAAGAATGGCAATCATTTTTGTTTTGTTTTGTTTTGTTTTTCCAGTACCGGGAATCGAACTCACAACCTTGCGCTTGCCAGGCAGGCGCTGTGCCGCTGAGCTAAATCCCCAGCCCCCAAGAATGGCAATCATTAAGAAATAAAAAAAATAAATGTTGGAGAAGCTGTGATGAAAAAGGAAACCTCCTACATTGTTGGTGGTAATGTAAAGTAGTACAACCATTAAGGAAATCAGTAGGGAGATTTCTCAAAGTACTAAATCAGAAATTCCACATGACCCAGCTATCCTTCATCTAGATATTTTCCCCAAAGAGCTTAAGACATCATAATATAGTGATACACACATACCAATGTTTTTAGCAGCATAATTCATAATAGCTAAATCCTGGAAGCAGACTGTATACCCATCACCAGATGAGTGGATAAAGAAAATGTGATTATCTATGCATAATGGAATATTACTTGGCTATAAAGAGGTACACATTTGAGACATTTGTAGGAAAATGGATGCACCTGAAAAATATAATATTGAGTGAAATAAGCCAGACATGCAAGCTTAAATACTGCATGGTATTTATTTAAGGCAAAGTACAATAATAAAGGATGGATGAGAGACAAGAGGATGGATCTCTTGCAAATGGGAAGGGATCCAAGAGATCAAGGATAAGAGATGAAGGAGTAGGGAAGAAATAGGTAGAATAAAGGTATGCCATCTAGCAGAACCTAATAACTTTAATGAATATAAATATTATATGCCATAAACATGAGCAAAGATTAGTAATATCAACAAAAATGAAAGTGGACATATGTGCTGCCAAAGCAAGCACAACAAAAATGAAAATGGAAAGGGAAAGAAACTGCTCAGAGGAAGGAACAACTGGGATGAGGGAAAAGAGGAAAAGGAAAGAAGAAAGGAAGGGAAAATATGTGTGTGTGTGTGTGTGTGTGTGTGTGTGTGTGTGTACAGAAGGATAGCTGGGATAACTATACTGCTAACGTCTAATGGTTTATTGAAAGGAACAGTTAATGCCTAATTTTTTTTTTTGACCAATTTTGCATGCTTTTATCTGGTAATCTGAACAACTAATTTGAAGACAACAATATTCAATATAACAACCATTGGTGAATTCCTACCATCTTGCCTACTGAAATTCTGTATTGTTTCTAATTTTTTGTTTGTTTTCATTTTTTATTTTCTTTAATGGTTTGATCAATATTGCATTCTTACATCTGGTAATCTGAGCAACCTGACTGAAGATAATAATATGTAATATAACAACCACTGTTAATTCCTATCATTTTGTTCTGAAACCCTGTATCATTTTTATTGTTTTTGCTTTATTTTGTTTTTGTCTATGTTGTTGGTATTTTGCTGTTGTTCTTTTTTTATTATTCTCTTTAAAAGAAAAGCAGAAAAAAAGAAAAAGAGGAAAGACAAATCAAAGGAGGGATGAAAGAGAGAGGGAAGGGGATTACAAAAGGAACCAAATTTATTATGTACATATATCCACTCCTCAAAATGAAAACTGCGGGGCTGGGGATTTAGCTCAGCGGCAAAAGCGCCTGCCTGGCAGGCGCAAGGTCGTGAGTTCGGTTCCCGGTACCGGAGAAAAACCAAAAAACAAACAAACAAAAAAAATGAAAACTGCATGTACTGCAAACTAATTAAATAAATGAAAAATTATGTAATTCTAATTTGCATTTCTCCATTTAGCCCAAGATTGCCTAGTAGTTTTAGAATTCCAGGTGGAAGCAATTTTATTTTATTTTCTGATTTATTACCTATTTTCTGGTTGTAAATTCTCCTACATTGGGACAGATCCTAATGAATTTTTTCTGCTTTTTGGAACCTAGGGAGTCTTTTCTTACAGAATATTTAGTCAATTTTCAGCAATATGTCGGGCATGGTGCCGCACGCCTGTAATCCTAGCACTCAGGAGGCCAAGGCAGGAGGATTGTTGTGAGTTCAAGACCAGCCTGGGCTCCAAAGTGAGCTCAAGGCCAGCCTGAACTGCACAGTGAGACCCTATCTCAAAAAGACCAAAAAAAAAAAAAAAAAATTCAGCACAGTGAAAAGGTATATTCTCTCTTTTTTTTTTGGTACGGGGAATCAAACTCAGGACATTGAGCTTGCCAGGTAGGCACTTGTGCCGCTGAGCTATATCCCTTGCCCAGAAAAAGTATATTCTCATATTACAGCAGAGATCAGCTAGGATTATAAGAACTACATTACTGAAAATCTGTGTAAGTAGTCTTTTTATGTGGTTCAAGTAAACCACAAGGAGTCTCCTTGATTCCTATCTCCATGAGGTTCAATCCCTTATACTTTTCTCTGAAAATTGAATAGATGGAACTCTGCAATTATCATTTGTACACCGACAACTCCCAAATCTCTACGTCCTTATATCTGTGCTACAATTCTCGATTTCCAGCATTTTTTTTTTTTTGGTACCAGGAATTGAACTCACAACCTCACACTTGCCAGGCAGGCACTATGCCAATGAGCTAAATCCCTGGTCCTCAATTTCCAAAGACCCACACAACAATCTTATTTTATTTCCTGCCACAAATTCAAAGGATTCAAATCTTGCCTCAACCTTGTGATAGATCTTATACTTATAAAAATTTCACATTACTTATCACTGTAAGCGACTGCCTTGTTTTTCATGTCAAACTGGAACATTGTAGAAGGCAAGTATGGGGCATTATTTATCTTTGGAACCTGCAGAATACCAACTCCAATCTTGCCTGAGGAAAAAACAAGTGGATGGAATGTTTTGAATTTTTTGAATGACTGCAAGCTTAAGCCACCAGCTTCATGGTATGAAGAGGGAAGGGTGAGGATTGGGTTTTAGGGTCCCAAAGAACACACCCAAAACTACTCCTGGAATAAGCAACATACACAGCACTGAATAACCTGAAATAAATGCTAGTTTTGTTCAAGACTCAAGAAAAATCCAGTATAGTAAATCTGGCCTTTTTATAACTTTCTCTACAATAAATAAAATTTTCACAGAGCATTCTGTGGGAAATGAACTAAGCTCATTATGTACCACTAACTTGACCACATAGGACAATACAGATAAGGGTTCTATTGTTATAATGGATTACTGTCACTTGGGACAACTCCTCAGACCTGTCCTCTGCTCAACTTAGGTCTCAGAAGCAAACTGCCCCAAAGGCAAATTAAAAAGTATGAGGCACTGAGCAAAGACATTTGTGAGGGCATCTGATTCTAGAATAGCTGTGTGTTTCTACAGAAAAGTTGAAGCATGTCTAAGCAGATTATGATGAGTCTGTCACCAGATCACTTCACATGTAGCATCAGAGACAGTTGGAAAATGAGGACAAATAAAGAAGGCCCCATTTAGCAACCACATAAGGAATTCACTGACAAAATTATAATAAATCCATCCAGGAGGCAGCACATGTAAGTCACAACTGCAAACTCTGACATGAGATTCTGAGTCTAACTATCTACTCTACTACTTCCAGCTATGTGACTTTGGCAAATTTCTTAACCTCTCTCTGCCTCATCTAATCACCTGTAATTGCTATACTCTACAATACTATTGTGAGAAGCATACAAACTAATAAATGCATGTTTGAGCCAGGTGTAGTGGTGCACACCTGTAATCCCAGTGCTCAGGAAGCTGAGGGAGGAGGACTGTCCTGAGTCTGAGGCTAGACTGGGGCAACATAGTGAGTTTCAGGTCAGCCTGAATTGCATAGCAAATCTCAAAAATAAATAAATAAATAAATAAATAAATAAGTAAATGTATGCTTGCATGCATACACAGATCAGTGGCTGGCATACAATACAGATAGCACCTAAGTGCTTAATAAATGTTAGATATTATTTTCATTAGCCAAGCATAATGGCACATGCCTATAATCTCAGCATTTGGGAGGCTGAGGCAGGAGGATCACTGCAAGTTTGAGGCCAGCCTGGGCTACATAGTGAGTTCAAGACTAGCCTGAACTATATAGTGAGACTTTTGGGGGGATACATATCTATAGATATAGATATCTATATATTATTTTCATCAAAAATAGAATATACTTTCACTTACAATAGTAGTAGTCACCCCTACTAAACACACAAAAAAAAGAAGTGTAACTTAAGGGTCTAAAGAAAATACTAAGTTGCAAAAAAAAAAAAAGAAAATACTAAGTTGCTAACTCAAAATATATCTTGGTTTAAAAAAATATATATATATCTATCTATATATCTATCTATATATCTATCTATTGTGAGAACCAGCTCCAGGTCAGAGTTAAGAAACAGTGTGCCCACATTTTCCATCTATTTGCAAGTCTTGATTACCAAAAATGTCCTCTCTTCCTTAACTTCAGGAAAAACTGACTATCTACACCTGGAATTCTGTAGCTAGCCTCTGCCACATAAGATAAAACAAAAACAGAATGTGTGCACTTTGCTTTACCAGGTGTAAACAGTGATTCAGAAGCTCCAGAGATGAAGGACATGCTTTTGCTATAGCATACGGCCTGAACACACAGCACTTGATTTCTTACCCAGTAACACCATCTCCCCAACATTACTGTTATCTTCCTTCTCTGAGCTGGATTGCTGAGCAGAATCCATGTTTACACATTCTTCTTGGGAATGAAATACATTCAAATCCTCAAAGATCACCAGCTCCTAAAAGAACAAGAGACCCCCTTTTTCTCAGTAAATGAGGTTCCTTCGCAGCCCTTTTTTTCTTATTTGGCAGTAAGAAAAGATCAAGGAAAAGGATGATGAAAGGCATCTCTATAAGCTTCACACAGGAGCAACATAGACAAGATAGCCAGGCTGAGAAGAGCCAGAACAAAGCAGAAGAGAAATGCCTTACGAGGTTGATTACCAAGAATGTGTTACACACAGACTGACCCAGAAGAGAAGATTTCAAGAGTACAGGAGGTGATTTACCCAGTGAGCGGAAAACCAAACCCACCTCACAGTCAGCTTTAAAACACAGAGACACTGTCTCCTGTTCCTGCTGGACTCTTTCTCTGGGCAGAGGTTTCACTAAGGGATGAGGTTGCACTGGGGAAAGAGGAAGCTGTAGTTAGTCAAAAACTCAGTGACTCTAATACAGACACTGCCCGTACCTTCAGGCCAAGCTACGCTTGCTTCTTCACCAGGCAATTCACAGCTGTTTCTGCTCCTGTGAGCCCTGACACAACTCGAGCCACAAGCCCCAGAGTCTTGAATCTTTATGGGATCTCTTCAGTATGAAAAAGATTGCCCTAAGCACCTTTCAAAATTTCTAACCAGTAGTCACTATATACGAGGTTGAAGGAAGACAACCTGAACAAGCATAAAGTTTCTAAAATCCCATATAAACTACAGACAACATGATAATCCACCTGATTTCTATATTCTTTAAAAGATACTTCCCTCCAGAATGTTTGAGTAAAATGCACAACACAAAAAGATGCTCACTTCACATAGCTTTATACACATCTGGCATACCACATAAGCTCCAGCCTAAGAATAAAGCAATACCTCAACATATAAAAACTGACTTCTTTTCGTGAATACCCACCATCTTAACTTTAATTCCTGACTAACATGGAAGTTCATCTCAGTGCCCAGTACCACCCGCTTCTCTTCTAGTGAAATAAGCATATGCTTCTTACCTCTGTTCTGAAGGCTCGAACTCATATCCTTCATAATAACCAAAGTCTCCTTGACTTTCTGATTGGGCTGGGCCAGGCTTGCCTTGGGCAAGAAGGTAAGGAAGTGCTCCAGCACCAACTGGTGGATGCTCTTGGACCCACTAGTGGCATCCTGAAGGAGGTCTTGGCCCAGCTTGGAGTCTGGAGGAACTCTCAGTACAAGAGACTGCTTTGGCTTTGGGGATATAGAAGCCACTTTCGTAGCCATCGTGCCTCACAACAAAAGACCACACTCGTTTACTGGGGGCTGCTAGAGCCACTTCTTACGGCAGGAAATCTGCCAGAGAGCCACGCTGCAGACAGAGAAACCACTGATTAGCCACACGATGCATGACTTCAACAGCCGGCTTGGGTGGTGAGGCCGTATGAAATCTACACCAGAAAGACAGATGGGGCGGGCAAGTCAAAACTGAAATACAGGTTCCGGAGACGCGATACACTTAGGAAGGCCTGAAAGGAAGACCCTGAGAATGAAACCCAAGCTCAAGAGCCAAACAGCAGGGAACAAAGCCAGCGAAGGCCAAAGGTCATCTCCCCGGGAAAGAAAACGTGCAGTATTCACTGAGAAGAGAAGTTTAACTCCCGCTCGCACAAAGAGCGATGGACCAGAAGCGAGGAACGCCGGGGTCCAGTCCGGAGGGCGTCTGCTCAGAGGAAAGCTAGCAGCTGACCCTGGCCGCACCGCGCCCCTCGCCCCGCGGCTCTCCCGCAGGCGCCCCGCCGGAGCGGGAGCGGCCGACGCCCCTCCCAGGGAGCACCACCTGTCAACGTGCTCCTGACAGCGGCAAGGGACATCGTACTGGGGCTCATCGGGCCAGTCCCACTCTAGGGCTTCTCACACCGGCCAAGGGGCAGCCTGACGCAAAGCTCCACCGGTGGCGCTGCCTGGGGTTCCGCCCCGGCTCCCGACCCGGCCTCGCTCCCCAGCCACGGAGAGCGCTCCGCTCCTCAGAGGTCGCCTCCGCCTGGCTCCCGCCACTTCACAGCCCCTCACCTCGCGGAGCCTCTCCGCCCGAAGACGGCTCAGCGGCCTGGGCTTCCACAAAGACCGGAAAACGAGGGACGGGGGCCCGACGCTCGCCTCGCCCTCTGGAGTGTCCTTACTAGCCGCCGGCAAGCATTGGAAAGCGCCGCCTTCAGTTGAGAGGACGCGCGGACGCGAAGCCTTCTGGGAGGCTGGGCGCCTCCGTTTCCGTGACGCCACGCCCAGTGACTCATTTCCGGCGTGAAAGTCTGGTCTCCTCGCTCGGAGCGAGCAGTGTTTGTCCTGCAAAAGACGAAGTTCGAGATCGCCTGCATGACTCTCGGCAAAGGCAGGTCGAGCCGGTGAAAGCCGCTTTCTATGTTGATCGGCCTCGGAATCGAGCAGAGAGTTGATACCAGTCCTCCACGTGCTGGCAGCACTCGTGTGGTCGGTCGGCCCCAGGTCTCTCTGGGAAATATGGTTCGGCTCCAAACAGCCAATAGGAAAGCCACCAGGCGGTGACGATCGGGGGCGGGGTAGGTTTGAGGAGCTATCGGAAATGGGCTCTTTCTCAGACCGGAAGGTCTGCGCGGCCCCTGCGGTATCCGTCTCTGCACCTTGGCGAGCGCAGGAAGTGCGTAGGTGACCCTGGGGTGGTCGTTTCCCGCAGCCATGAGTGCTGGCGGTCTCGCAGAAGTGGTTTGGTGTGTAGCAGTGGGCAAAGCTAGGCGATCACTCCCCTCATTTTACCAACTAATACACGGCCGCCTGGACCTTGCTTCTTTCATAAGAAATGCTAGTCCGACTTCCTCAGACTCTCCATTCTCAATTTCAGCTTCCCACAGAGAGGTTTTACAGGATCTTTTTTTTTCTGTATTGTTTTCATACTTGGTTTGTTCTCAGTGAGACACCGATTGGAGTTGGGACAACCTTTGGGCAGGTTTGTGTAACAACCACCTCTGGCAGAATAACATAAGTGAAAATAAAACCTAAAGCTTTTTCTTCACACTAATATAGCTGACTCACTTAACTATGGCTTAGAATGTTATAAAGTATGACAACTGTGCAGCACACAAAAATGAAAAAATACGTGCCTTTCCAGATAGAAACATTTACTAAAAACCCTTTACTGAAAGCAGTATTTTTGGAACTATGAGTAAACAAATGGAACAATGAAAATAATTATACGTGTAAAAATTGAATATATGTGAACTTCAATTAAAGGATATAATTTCAATTTATTGGGAAATAGGTGGTGCTACCAATTGAAATTGTATATTGTGGGAAAAAGAGCCCTGTCCTTAAATCAACATACAAAAATGCAATGTAATAAAAACACTGGAGAGGACAGAAAGTTTAAAGTTGAGGCACAACAGGAAACTAAAATAGAAGTAAAATATAAGCCTGTTACTTTTCCTCCCAAGTGTTTATGAATATCTTTATGTTTAATATTGATGGATTTGGTGTGCTTAATGTCCTTCAGCCTGGTCTCCCCTCCACTTATTCTGCCCTGTGATACATAAGAAATAATGGTAGTTTACTGTCACTTTTGCTTTTTGGGTTTTCAGTGTCCGCGCTGATTCCAAGTAGGTAGCCAGCCTGTCCTTTCTTTTGCTGTCACACCCCCATCACTGCACTTGTGTTATACCATCTTTGCCTGATTATGGCTATGTTTTTTAAAAAATTAAGTGCTAGTAATAAAATCAAATTAATAAACTGCAAAATAATTGGGAAAGATAAGCCAGACTTTCCCAACAGGAAATGAGCCCCTGCCAACTGACAAAAAAACAAAGGCAAATGCTATGAACAACCATTTTATAGAGTAGAAAAATAACATGGTGATTAACCTCCGAAAAAATGCTTACTCACACTACTAACCTAGTCAGTATTTTCACTTTTTAAAAAAAATGTTTTCACTTTAAAATAGGACAACTGACTTAGGAGATAGACTGTGGCAAAGCTGGCTGGGGAAATAAGTGGGACCTGTCAATTACAAATCCCAGGACAGTGCCAAATAATTCCCAGGAATCCCCTATGTAGGAGAACTTCAAGTGTCCAGGAGATGTGAACTACAGGAGGAGGAGCCTGCTATCATGACTTTCACAATAGCCCACCCTGTGTCTCCTAGACCAGGATGTACTTTTATTTTTGCTTTTATCTTTTTTTTTTTGTTTGGCTCAAGTTTGCTCTGCAGAACCAGTTTTCCCCTTACCCCTTCACTTTTCCCTTTCCAAGTAAACTTTCTGGCACCGTTTCTGGCTTGTCCAATTCTTTGTTTAAGGCAAGAAGGACGTGGAATACTACTTGGCAAGCCATTTCTAAAAGAACTACCAGACCACACAACCACTCCTGCACTCCTATAAATCCAGGACTCTGGGAGGCTGAGGCAGGGAGATCACAAATTGGAGATCAGCCTGGGAAATTCAGTAAGATCCTGTCTCAAAATGAGAAATAAAAAAAGGGCTAAGGATGTAGCTGAGTGTCATGGCCCTGGCTTCAAATTCCCATTACGACACATACACACACACACACACACACACACACACACACACACGAGTACACTATTTTTCACTTGTCAAGTTATAAAAAGATGGAGAGGCATTCTGTTTCTGTTTGCTGGTAGTGAGGTATGTGAAATCATCTTGTAATATATATTAACATTAAAAGTATATGTATCTCCCCTTTGACCTTGGCAATCTAGTCTCTAGAATTTCAAGGTAGAATTCTTTGTAAGGAGAAAAACTGAAACAACATATATGTTCATGAGTAAGGTTATAGTTTAATAAATTTGTGCATTCCTAATCTGGAAATTGCTGTGAAGAAGAATGGATTAGAACTATATGTAGATGGTCATAGACTATTGAATGAAAAAAATTACAAAGTCCCTATTCCCAAATATAAGGCATAATTATATTTTTAGAACAGAAAACATCCTGTGTATGTTTGTATGGAGGGATACACACTGGGTTATTAAAACAGTTACTCCTGGATGGGAGAGGAAGATAAAGAAGGAGATTAAACATTGTTACACTGTCTCACTTCATTTAATGAGCAAGCATCAATTTGGTAACTAAAAAAAAGTCTAGCCAGGTATGGTAGTGGAGCGTATAATTTCAGCCTCTTGGGAGACTGAGGGAGGAGGATCACAAGTTCAAGGGCAGCCTGGACAACTTAATGAGATTCTGTGTCAAAAAAAGAAAGGGCTGAGGGTAGACCTTAGTGGTAGAGTGCTTGCCTATCTTAAAATGAAGGGTGATAAATAGAATAATTTTAAAAAATTTGATGGCATCTTATTTTTAAAAACTGATCAGTGAAGTAGATATCATAACTGTATTTGAAATAACATTAGACCTTAATCTAAGGGTATAAGTAGACAAGGTATAGATCTACAAATGCCTTTTAACATAAAAGATGGTCATTGTCACATAGAAGTAAAGAAATGCAATTTAAAATAGTAAGAATTTTGAATTTATTTCATCAATCTTGTATTATTTATAAAAATTGCATTTATTTATCAAACATACTATTCAGTGTTCTGAAATCAAACTAATACTATTATGTCATAGGGCAGTATAGCACTATTTTTAAAAGTACCGTGTTTGTTAAGTTTGTAAATGTCTCTCAACTTACTTTATTTTACTTTGTTCTTTTGAGACAGGGTCTTGCTATGTAGTTCAGGCTGTCCTTGAACTCACTATATAGCCCGGGCTGGTTCTAACTCCCTGCAAACCTCCTGCCTCAGCCTCCCAAGTGCTGGGGTTACTGGCATTTGCCACGCTGCCTGCCTCTTAATTTATTTTAAAGAAAATAACATGGTATGTACGTTTGCAAGGTCAAAACTTGGTTAAATCATTATGTGTTTATACTGTGCAATACAGTGCAACCATTTAAGGGATAAATTAAGTGAAATACAAGTTACAGAACAGTATAAAGTCATTTAAAAATAATAGTTTTTTTTTTTTTTTTAAAAGCCAAGCACGGTAGTGCATGCCTGTAATCTCAGCACTTTGGAGGGTGAGGCAGGAGGATCACAGCAAGTTCAAGGCTAGCCTGGACTGCATAGTTCAAGGTCAGTCTGAGCTACATAGACCCTGTCTCAAAAAACCAAAACAAAATAAAAATACTAGTTATCTCTTTAAATCAAAAGAATTTACAGTAGGTTTGTTTGTGTGTTTTTGAGGGAGGGTCTTACTATGTATCCAGGTTGGCCTTGAACTCATGGTGATCCTCCTGCTTTAGCCTCCCAAGGGCTAGGATTACAGGTGTGCGCTACCACGCTCAGCAACAATAGGTATTAATAGTGGTTATCTCTATGGAGTAGCTTGGATGGGATTTTTCTTTTTATATTTTAGAAATCCATAAGTTTTCAAATAATGATGTTAGTTTTGTAATTGGAAAAAGCATTTGAAGGGTGAGTTAGTACTTTAATATTTGATCCTTTAGAAATAAAATAGTGAAGGAAGAAAATTCTATTTAAATATATTAAGTGCATATCAAAACCACAATGACATACTACTTCATACACTAGAATGACTACAGTAAGAAAGGCAGTGCAGTATCAAATACTGGTCATGCGAAAAAAATGGAGCCCTCATATATTTTTGGTGGGGATATAAAATGGTCCAGCCACTTTGGAAAAGTTTGGCTGGTTCTCAACATATTACCATATGAACAAGCACTTCCACTCCTAAAAGTAGAAATGAACCTCTCTCTGTCTCTGTCTATCTTTGTCTCTGTCTCTCTGTCACTCTCTCTCTCTATATATATATGTATATATATATATTTCTTACTCAACAATTAAAAAGGAATAAAGCCCTAATACATGTTACAATATGGGTAGCCCTTGAAAACACTTCATTAAGTGAAAGAAACTAGTCACCAAAGACCATGTGTTGTATGATTCCATTTACATGCTCTATCTAGAATAGGCAAATCAATGGAGATAGAAAGTAGCTTAGCGATTTCCTGGGCTGGGGAAAGGAAAAAATGGGGAGTGATTGTTAATGAAATGGCTTTTCTTTTTGAAGAAATAAAACATTCTGAAATTAGTGGTGATATTTGCACACATAATGAATATACTAAAAACCACTGGAGTTTGTACTCTAAAGGGGTAAATTATACCATTTAAAAGATCAGCAGGTAGAAAAACTCCATCTGACATACAATTGTTTACTATTTTCAAAGTGCTACAAAAAATTACTGATTTATGAAATGCTATAAACAACTAAGTTCAGCTCTAGATTCTAAATAGTAGTCAAGGGAGCTGTAATATTTCTATAGAATGAAATGAAAAGCCGAAATTCAAAATTTACAGCCTCATACATAATGAAATAAAACCAAGGTATGACTTCATTATATCCCTATTAAAACTTTTAAAGTAACATATATTGCTTTGGGCATAAAATACCTTAAAAATCTTTCTGAAGGACAGTGTAGCAAACTATAGCTAGTATTTTTGGTGGGGATGTAAAATGGTCCAGCCACTTTGGAAAAATTTGGCTGGTTCTCAACATAGTTACCATATGAACAAGCACTTCCATTCCTAAATATTTCGCATTTCAGGACATTTTAGGAAATCCAGGAGACAAATATGTATATTGCAAGGTGGTGGAAAATATACACAAGGATGTTCTTGGAAAGCTTATCAAGGAGGAGGGCTGGGAGTAACAAATGCCCAACCACAGGAAACAGCTAAATTATAGGGCACATGAAATTTGTTAGCATGCGCATTCCACATGTGGAATAAAGATCCATGAAGAAAGCAAAACATACTTGTGCATGCTGTGGTCATAACTATGGAGAATGTGGGAGTCTAGGCTACACGAGTAGCAAAGACAAAAGAGTTGGGATAGGAGGAGTTTGGAATTTAACCTTCATTTGATCCCCATGATAAACATAATCATATGCTGCAAACATGTACTAACTTTTTAAAATCTTCATTTGATTTTCTTTTCTGTTTTAATTAATTTTGGGGATTAGCGGTCTTGCTGTTACCCAGGCTGCCCTTGAACCACGTTGAAGTGATTCTCCTATCTCAGCCTCCCAAATAGCTGGGAGTACAGGCATGCTTTACCATTCCAGGCTCTTTCTTCTCTTCTTATGTCTCTTCTCTACATCTCTTTAATGGGAATGTCATGAGACATTTGGGAACTAAAACACTTAATATTCCACAAACCCACAAATTTTTCCGATGCAAACCAAGACAGAATAATCTGACTCTTGGGCTATGTGCTTTTCCATGGTAGCAACTCAGTCTCTTTCAAGGTACTCAGTAGGAAAATGGGACCTTGCAGTGATCAAAAGAGTGACAAATTATGGTCAGATTTTCTGATTGATTTATTTGTGAGACCCAGTTCATGTCCTTGAGAATCATAGTTCATTAATGCAGGCATACAAATACTTTTGTAACAGTCCAGTATCTTTGTGTTTTATCTAGGTTTCCTGTGTCCTCAGAACAGGGGCAGACAGAGGGAAGACAGTGGGAAGGGAAAAATGAGAGCAGTGTCTTTTGTTTCCAGAGGATCTGAGAGTGCTAATTCATACCAGAACTCATTACACAACCTTCACGTACTTCCTCCTCTGAAATCCACTGCGTGTCATCAACGTGTGTGTCAGCTTCACTCCTGATTTGCCAATATTTGTATACTTACCTGACCTCTGCTATGGCTTGGTAAACTTCTTGGCATTGGGACTATTTCTTATTCACTGCCCTCCCTATAGCAGCAGAAGGTTCATAGTAGGTATGCAGTCAGTAACTGCTGAGTGCCTGAATGCAAGATGCAAGGCCAGGAGATGGGTGGAGGCACAGTGTTGGGCATTCAGTGAGGCCCCTGGTCATCCACTGCACAGATGGTCAGAGCACCCATGTTCTTTCCCCCATCATGTGTTCCAGGGCTGAAGATAGGCTGAAGGGGCCCAGAGGCAGAGAAGCTGGTGAATGTGTAGATGTGGGATCTGGCTGTCACATTATAAAAGGAAATGTGTCCCGCCTTCCAGTCCAGGAAGATGCCCACACGTTTGGGGGGTTCACTCATTCGCAGGTGGGTTGGAGGAATGGTAGATGCTTGGTATTCATTTGACTTCATCATCATCACCACCCAGTAGCCATTCTCCGGTGTTAGAGTCACGCTTCCCTTCCTGCTTGTGGATGCCTTGCATATTCCCAAGACCCACGCCGTCTTGTTTCCAACCTCCACTTCCCAGTAGTGGCAGCCAGAGAAGAATCTTGGAGAGCCCAGCGTGAAGATGCAGCTGTTGAATCTCTCTGGGCTGTCAGGCAGCCTGTCCCATTTGCCTCCGAGTCTCACGCTCTTCATATCATCAGAAAAGACAAGGTTTGGATGGGCAGTTGTTGGATCCAGGAACACTTTAACTGGAAAGAGAATTAGACCGCCTATGTAGGGGTTCACGGGCAACATCCTGCTAGGGTTCACCCTACCTCCAGGAAACAGGACGGGGCTGCTCTTCTAGATTGTGGTAGGGGCACACAGGGACCTGCCAGGCCAAGACTACTTGTCTTGATCTGGGCACTTACCAGCATGTGCCTGAGCACCAGTCAGTTCTTGAACTACAGAGAGAAAAAAAGAGAGATGAGAAGGAAAGGTCCTGAGCATTCCTATCCGGAGGAGCTGAATTATACTATCTTGGCGACAAGGGAAGGCAAGGATGCCCCTGCTTAGAGCCCAGCACCCTAGGCTTGGCCTCTCAAGTCAACCATACCCACATTAGTGACTGTGGTTGCCAGAGAGGCAAGTAGGAAAGGACTATGCAGAGCTGTGAAGCCTGCCATGACCCTCCCAATGCCTTTGTTCCAGGTGTTTTTCTCTCTTCTAAAACAGCTCTCTGAAATCAACAGCATCACAATAACTCCCGGTCAGTGTACACTTCTGCCACCATACTCACCATTGAATGTTTCCATTTCAGAACGCAACGTATCTAAAAAGGGGGGAAGGGAATAGAAAGAGGCTCAAGTTAGGTCCCCTGGCTAGGAGTAAGTCAAAGAGAAGCTGAAGACATGGTCATCAAGGCCTTGGGAGGTGAGGAGGCAAGAAAGAGTGGTCTGGGCTTCATGAACCCCATGGAGAAAGTGAGCAGCTGCCTCCCACCTTCCCCAAGCCCACCTACCTGAGAAGTACTTCATGCTCTTCTCCACAAACTCTGATTTCTGGTACAGCAGGTGGATCTTTTCTTTCACCTCTGGAGGAGTGGCCCAGGCCTCAGGGACAGTCACTGTCTTGGCCCTACAGACAAGAAACTGTTAGCTGGGGAGGACTGGAGAGAGAGAGTGGCCTGAGAACCTGTCATTTGCAGTCTCCATGAGACACACCCAGGCAGGCCTGGACTATGCAAAGTGAGGACTCTTCTTTGCGTAGTCCAGGCTGGAGCTGCAGGGATACAGGAACCTGGCCAGGATGACGGGAGGGGACATGGTTGTTTTCAGGGGCTGGTAGTGGAGCAGTGTGAAATTAGTTTCAATGGTACAGGGTTTCCCATGGGAAAGTAAAAAAGTTCTAGAAGTGGATGGCAGACACCAGATTTGTGTAAAGTTCTCCAAGTGACAGTTCCACTCCTCTCCTATAATGCCTTCTGTCCTTGGTCCAACTCCAGGTATCTCCCCAGAGACTCCTAGAAAGCACTTCTTTCCTGGAGGCCATAGACAGCTCTGCAGGGACAGTTTTCATAAAGTGAAGGTTTCATTCATTTTTCCATGTCCCTGCTCCCATCCTGGCTAGGTTCCTATTATCCCTGCACAAATCTAGGAATCCCTCAAGAAGCTGCAGGAAGTGGGAGGAGCCACAAGTCACAGACCCAGGTCCCTCCTAGGACTGTCTCACCTAAATGCTGCCTGCAAGATACCCAAAGGAACACCAGCAACCTCTCCGTACCTGTGCAAGGTGACTCCAATGTCCTAGGGGAGAAAAAGATACTTCCATTACCAGTCTCCTAGTGGCCAGGCTGATTGTGGCCTCTCCTCCTGGCTCCTTGTCTTTAAGCTTCTCCCTGCCCTTACCAGGGATCCCAGCCTTGGGGCATCACATAGCTGAAACGTCTCCAATTCTAATTCTACTCACTCAGGTGGCGCCCCTGCCAGAGACTGCTGTAGAACTACACAAGAGCCCTGCACATCTTCTGGACAAAGCTAGAGCCACCCTGATGCTGTGCCACCCTGGATCCTCAGGAGATCTCATTGGAAAGGTCTGGGCCCAAGAAGCACAGTAGCTCACCAGAACCAAGCCCACACCTAGGCCTCCAGGGCCTTACTCCCTTGCTTTGACAGAGGTGCCCTTGCTTGGGTAGAGGTGATGGCAGTGATGAGAGTCTGAGTCATTTCATGGGCCCAGCTAGCAGGGGAAGGTCCAGAGGACTCACCTGCATGAGCTCCCATTCCGACTGTCCCTGCTTGGCCTCAAGCTCCCCAATCAGCTCATCGAGGAGGGCAATGTCCCGGGATACCCGGGTGCCGTAGGTCTTCCGGACTCGGGCAATGGTTTGGCCCAGCTCCTCCAGCCAGGCCAGAAAGAGCTGCTCCTGCTGCTCAAGAAACTGATACAGCTGCTCCAGTTGACACCGCACCCTCCGCTTCTGAGTTTCAGTTTGTTTCTGGTAATCAGAGGATAGGGAGTAAGTTGTAGGGAGTCTGTGCAGTGGGGTGGACATGTGTGTCCAGGGAGGCCTCTGAAGCCTACCTCCTGGAGGTGGATTAAAGGCAGTCTTCTTCAGCCTCTTGGAGGCCTGGAATCCAGAGCCAAGGGTAGTATTGTCTGGAACCTTCCAGAACAGACAGGATTAGAGGGGCTAGTTCTTGGAAAATGCTCTTCAATTTGGGTAACAGGTTTATTTGTATTCCCTCCAAAATTCGTATGTTGAAGCACTAACCCCTCAGTACCTCAGAAAGTGATCTTATTTGGAGATAGGAGTACAAGCAGATTTACTTAATTAAGATGATGTGATACTGGGGTAGGATGGGCCCCTAATCCAATATGACTGGTGTCCTTATAAAATGACAACATTAGGGGGGCCAGGGATTAGCTCAGTGGTGCAGCACCTGCCTGGGAAGTGTGGTGTCCTGAGTTTGATTCCCAGTACTCTCCCCCAAAAATGACAACACACACACACTGGCAGAACACCAGGTGATAAGACACACAGAGAAAATGGCCACTTAAAGCTGAGGAGGGAATCCTAGAGCAGATCCTTCCCTCACAGTTCTCAAGAGGAACCAACCCTGCCAACCTACACTGATTTCAGACTTCTGGCCACCGGAACTGTGAGATGATAATTTTTGTGTATGAGGGCCATAGGAAACCAACACGCTGGGGTTATCTCCCTCCTGCCTTGAAATCCAATATGAAGATAGAAAGTGCCCTGGGGTCATAAGTAGCCAAGGCTGCAAGTGAACCACCAAACTGTGCCCCAGAATGGTGGCCTCTGTCCACTCCCAAAGGGCTGGTGTGCAGGGGCTTCTCAACATGGCTCTGACTGGGGACAGTCAGTCCATTTGTACGTGAACTTGGCTTCCTTCTGTCATACAGAGGTCAATCATTGGTTTTTCTGTCATCCTCTTTCTCATAGTCCACAGAAAGCTTTTTTTTTTTTAGAAGGGTCTTGCTGTGTAGTTCAGCCTTAAGTTCACTATGTAGCCTAGTGTGGCCTCGAACTCATACTGATCCTCCTGCCTAAGCCTCCCAAGTGCTGGGATTATAGGCGTGTGCCACCATGCCTGGCTAGGAAGCTTCTTTAGAGAAATGACTTGGTTCTAGAGCACCCATTCCTTCCTCCAAAGGAGAGAGGGATGCTCAGATCAACAAACATTAGGCTTCTTAATGGTCTTATTTTTTGGTTTCAGAAGGACAAGACTAACTTCCCCTCCTCCTCCTCTTCTTCTTCTTGTTTGGTGGTACTGAGGATTAAATCCAGAGCTTCGTGCAGGCCAGGGAAGTGCCCTACCATTGAACTACATCTCCACCCCTCTTTAGTTTCTTTGAACTCTAAATGTCTCCTCATCTTCAGGTGCTATTATTGGTGATGATGATGACTTTTTTCTTTATTGAAGACGATGGGTCAGTTGTCATGTTTAATTTATATTCTAAAACTGATAATTTTGCATATGATTAAATTCATGCTAAACATTTTGGGCAAAAAAAAAACCCCAACTAAATAAACTAGTTAATCCCAAATGTCCTTCTTAGTACATCTCATCTAGAAACAAAGAATATCCAATTGGTCCGTTGCCATTATTGTGAGAGTTAAATTGGTTACTTGCTTAAAGAAGGGTCTACCAGATATTTGCTCTCTGTAATTACCTGGAGGATGGTATCTTGAGAATTAATGAAGATCCTCTTCCCTAACAACCTTCCTCTAAAAATTTTAGATCAGTTAATAGTTGCTGCCTGTCAAGCATTATACTAGTATGGTTCTAATCTAATCATTCTTTTATAGTGTTTGCATTAGCTGGCATTCTGCTATAAATAAGAGTCCTCACCTCATTCCCTATGATTAAAAGTATTTTTTTTGAACTGTGGAAAGAAGGAGAAAAAAGAAAGAGGAGAAAAAGAGGAACAACCCTGTTTTGTATATTAAGGGAAGGCTGAACCGTTGGTCTCTCTGGGTTTTCCAAAATGGCCCATATTCCCACCTGACCTCCTCGGGGACACTCTGACCTCTGTTCCATCCACAAGCTTCTAGCCATGTGGGATTATAGGAAGAAATTTTCATTTTCCTGCAGTTCAGGAGCATCCACAAAGCCAGACACCTGGGCCAATACCCACCTGCATTCTTTCTTTTGTTTTCTTTCCCTGTGACCCAGTGAGGCACAGTGGGTACCAACTTGACTTGTCAGAGTTTTTGGAACCAGAAGGAGACAGGATCCAGCCAATGAAAATGCATTAGACAAATAAAGAATCTGTAGGGTAGGGTCTAGGAAAAGTGCAAGCAACGTAAACATCCAAAAGGCTGGACACCACGAGCTCAACAGAACACCAGTAAGCTGTACTTCCTGAAATATGTGGTGTCACAAAACCACAGTTTTAAAGAAAATGTTTTCCATTTGAATTTTAAGAATCAGTATGGTTTTTATATTTTATTTTATTTTATTTTTGTCTTTTTGAGACAGGGTCTCACTGTGCAGTTTGGGCTGGCCTTGAGCTCACTTTGTAGCCCAGGCTGGTCTTGAAGTCACGACGATCCTCCTGCCTCAGCCTCCCAAGTGCTGGGATTACAGGCATGCACCACCACGCCTGGCAGGTTTTATACTTTAAAAGATAGCAATTATAAAAACAGTACAGAGGAGTCAGGTGTGGTGGTACATGCCTGTAATCTCAACACTCTGGAAAGCTGAGGCAGGAGGATTGAAAGTTTGAGGTCAATATGGGCAACTTAGTGACTTACAATGACTCTGTCTCAGAATTTGAAAATATATAGGGAGCCAGGGATATAGCTCAGTTCTAAGGCACTGGGTTCAGTTCTCAGCACCCACACACACAAGAAGGAGAATTTAAACTTAAAATGGTTTTCCTTCCCTTTTTTCAATCTCATTCCTTGGTAACAGCCACTGCCTTTGGTTTCTATGAACCCTTTAGTGCTGAGAATGAGAAAATGTACAGGGTCCTCAGAGGTGACTGTCTCTGCTGGGATGGCTTCCTTCTATTGGGACAAGCTTGGCCTTGGATGCTGTTACCTCCCTGTTCCCCAAGAACAGATGACTATCCTTGCTGCCCTGTGAACCACAGCAAAATTTCATGGACTCCTACTCACTTTCAGTTCCTTCTTTCCTTCTGTAGGTGTGAAAGGGAAAGGACCAGCCACAGGCTGCTCCCAGCCTTACCAGGAAGCGTGCTGTCTTTATATCCCCCTGTGATCTCTGCTCCTCCCCAGATTTCCTCAGCTCCTTCAGATGCTCCAGCTGCTTCTGAATTTGCTCCTGGAGAAAGAACATTTTTTAGATGCTTCCGTTGGCTCCTGCTTTAGCTACTGCCAATGCCAGAGGAGAAAATCTACTTCCAGGAACAAAGTAAGGGTGCTACAATCAAGATCATAAGGAGAAGTGTTCAGGAAGAATGAATCTATTATCATGGGAAGCAGAGCCAAGAGATGAGTTCCACTGACATCCTGGAATCTCCTGGGTACAGCCATACCTGAAAGTAGACACCTCCCTCCCCTATGGATTTCTGAGCAACAAAAACTGTCAATTTTCTTTGCTGGCCTGGTTTGTATTATGTTTTTACCATTTACAGCCCATGAGTCCTGGCTAGTGCACCCATGCCTCAGAGTGATTGGAGAAATAAAGAAGGCCCAGTGTGTCCAAGTTCATGGCAGAGAAGTGGTCCCAGACAGGGAGTACTAACCTTGTAGTCCAAGGCGGCCTCCTCAATGGGGCGTACCCGGTGGCCTTGATGCTCCTGACTCAGCCTGCAGATGAGGCAGATGAGCTCCCCATGGTCCTCACAGAAGAGCAGCCGTGCCTGCTTCATGTGGCGCTGGCACTGTGGCAGGGCCTGGGGACTCACATCTCCAGAACTCTTCCTTGCCAGCAAGGCCTGGCACTGCAGGCAGCCGGGAAAGCTGTTCCCCAAGGTCTTGGAGTCCCCAGAAGCAACAGGGCAGCTGCAGGAACCATGCACACACGTACTACCAAGCAGATCCCCTTCCTGGGTGGGGCACTGGGGACATGCAGCTTCACCCTGTGGTCTCCCTAGGGACATGGTAGTAGAAGAAACTCCTGAGTGCCAATCGCAAGATATTTAGGAGAGAGAGCCTATGCCATGAGTTCTCAGTTACACCCGGCCTCTTCTTAGGTTTCCTGCCATGATTTCCATTCACTGAAGGAGAAGACAGGTCACGGGGAACCAGAGCTAAGGGAGAGGCCTCATGTTTACTTCTGAGACTTGGGATTCTCAGGCATTCATTCTAGGAAAGATTAACAGGCCTTTGCTACAAAGCCTCGGCCTTTCTCCTGCATAGGTATGGAAATAGTGGGTGAAACGAAAGAAGACATCCTGAACAGCATTTGCTTTGCCACTTAAAATCACCCCAGGCTACTGAAGCCCCAGTGGGCGCTCCTAGGGGATAGACTCATATGCCTCCCTCAGACTGCCCCCTAGCTCCTGGCAGACTACATAGTAAACATTTGGTGCATGGATTGAAAGAAGGAGCAAATGGATCACTGCTCACATCCAAGTTCAAAAAGCATTAAATGAAAACAAAAAAGGGGACTTTATAAGGCTAAAGAGTATCTCTTGGCATGAAGATGTAACAGTTATGAATAGCTCTACTCGAAGACTATCGCAGAAATGACAGGAGACACAAGAAGAAACAGAAATACATGCAGTCCTTCCATCCCCCTCAACTTGCTGCCCCAGGAATTCACATGACACCTGTAAACAAAGTTGTTAGTAGCTCGCAAGAATCATTCTCCTCTCCTCTCTTCTAACAGAATTAATTGCTACCCATATGGCTGCTTCCTAAACGCCTTTGCAGTTAGAAGTGCCCATCTAAACATATTCTAGCCAAAAGAATATAAACAAGGTGTCATGAGCAGCTTCTAGAAACTTCTAGAAACCTTCCCAAAGTGATCCCCCTTCTCCCTCCATCCTGCTGGCTGGTATGAAGATGTCACTATCTGAGACTATGAGTTTCAGAGCAAACTTGGTGGAGCAAACAAACAGAAGTTTGGGGTCCTACCCATGGACATGTCCTGGACCAACTTGTGTGTCATTTGTGTGAAAGAAGACTAGACTTCTATTGTTGTAGCTTCTGCAATTTTTGGGTTTCTATTACTCACAAACAAACAGAATCATGACTAATTCCTTAGTAAGAGAGACCCGGGATTTTGGTGAATGGCTCCCCTCCCGATCCAGAGAAAGGCAAATAGTAGACTCCTGGCCCTGTGACATGTTGCCATGGAGTAACTGTGGAAAGAAGATATTTTTACCCAGTCTTGTTTGGGTTGTTAATTTAGGCCCCATGAAGCCATGAAATCTAAAGAAGAACTTCTGACAGTCCAAGAACAAATTGAATTTTGATGTAACACTTTGCAAGGATGTGCCTATATGCACTTTTTAGGGTCTAATAGCCAGGACCAGGGATCCCAGGAGGCACTCAGGTATCCCAGTGATATAAATATAGTAGGAATAAAACGAAATTTGGTGGAGGGAATTCCTTTACAGGCCACCAATCCTAAGGATACTAGGTCTGCTGCATTCCGGGCTCCCTTCTCACCTGAAGATGAAGGTACTTCTGGGTTTGAGGATTCATGAAACACACCACCTGCCATCTTCCCCCGAGTCTCTGGATGCCCAGTTCCATATTCCCTGAAGGATGCTGTGGATTTTTCCTCTCTAGCCAAAGATGCACTGGAAAGTGTGATCCTGAGCGTACCCCCCTCCATGACTGTGGAACGTTCTGTGTTCCTGGAGCCATTCTCCAGAGCCAAAGTAGCCCCTACTCTGGAAGCGGTTGCTGAGTCTGCATTTGCGTTTCTCATTTCCTCAAGAGATGTCAGAAGAGTTTCCGGATTCCGGGGTTCTTCCTTTTCTGAAGAAATAGTGAGTTCAAGACTTTTGGGTCGCTTTTTTCCTGAAGGCAAATATACTTCTAGTTTCTTGGAGTCTCTCTTCCCTGAGGCCCCACTACAGAGCCCTTGGAGCCTTCCTGCTGAGCTGGCATTCCTTCGGAGCTGGGTACTCGCCCGGACCTCCAAGTTCCCCTGCTGCTGCTGGGCAAGCACTGGGCTTCTCCTGGCTGGCAGCGCTGCATTCCTAGCCCATGGCTTACCCTGCACGTCCAGGCCCTCAAGGCCCTTTGGGTCCTTCCGTTTGCCTGGAGACTTCTTCTGAGGTCCCCTCACTGCCTCAGTCTGGCTGGCTGGCAAGCTGGCTGCCCCATCGCCGCCTTGCCCGTCACCTGCAGGGTCATCTGGTACCTTCAGGCTCTTGGACTTGTTCTCTCCAGAAGACGCTGCCAAAGTGTCAGTGCAACTTTCTTGTGTCCCAAGTTCTGTGAAGACAACCACATGCAAAGACATGAAGCTCTCCCACAGCAAGGACCCAGGTTTGGGGCGTGGGGGAGAGGGAGCATCCCACTAGGAATCACAGCAGGTAAAGTGCGGAACATCCTAGCCAGGAACAGTGAATGACCATGAGGTAAGAACAGACACATAATTTGCTAGATTTTTCTCAAATAGTGCTTTTCAAACTTTTTAAGTAGGAGAACTTATTTCAGTAATATCTTGTTTTGAATAAAAGAACTTAAAACTAGTTATTTGTGTAAATTTGTATATGATTACAGATGTAGAAATTTTACTTTTTATAAAAATCAATCAATAAAAAGAATGTGTTTGATTAACACAAAAAATTGAAATTAAGGCTTATAATTCTTTCATTGCCTACACTGAAGAAAATTCTTATACAGAAAATTCTTACAAGTTTAAATGATAATTTAACAACAACAACAAAAAAACAGCAGCTTGCCTGGAAATTTCAGCGTACTGTTTCTATTTGGAAATAACAGGAAAGGCTTAAAATGAAGATAAACTATAATTAGTCCCTTCTTTTCACATTTTGGGCCTAGGAGCATATCTCAGTGGTAGGTAGAACACATGCTTAGCATGCCTGAGGCCTGGGTTTAGTTAGTCCCTAGCAATACATACACACACACACACACACACACACGCACACTTAAAATTGTATAAAATAGTTTGCTGTTGGCTTTCCAGGAAGATATAAGCTACCAAAACTGGCTCAAGGATTGGTGAGAACGTTTGAAAATACTAATAATCAAGTTTTACATCATGAAAAAGTAATCTTGAAATTCTACTAGGTTCTGTGCCTTTCACAGACTATAGGCATTTTATGTTATTTAAACTGTTTGGCCTTATAGACATATCTGAAAACTATTTCTGATATAGTTTTTTTTTGTTTGTTTTTGTTTTTGTTTTGTCTTTTTGAGACAAGGTCTCGCAATGCAGTTCAGGCTGGCCTTGAGCTCACTTTGTAGTCCAGGCTGGCCTCGAACTCTCAGTGATCCTCTGGCCTCAGCCTCCCAAGTGCTGGGATTACAGGCATGTGCCACCATGCCTGGCTGATATAGGTTTAAAGTCAAGAAATGAAAGAAAAGTTCAACACCAAAGAGTGTTTTTTAAAGTGACTCTCAAAAACCGTAAGTCTCTAAAAGCAGAAACTAAATAGGCCATATTCTTTGGTCACACTGTAATAAACCAGAAAGTTACAACATACGGACAGTAAAAGAAGGAAGAGCAACAAAGCAAGCAGGAGAGAAAGCGGATTCTTGAGACGTTTTAAATATCCTTAAAAAGTATGTTAAAGAGAAATTTTAAACTGAATTAGGCGCATAACAACGAGAACATTATCAATCTGTTAATATGATTGGTTTGCAAGCCCTTTTAAAACACTTGTCTGCACAAGTGCTAATTGCAAATGTAGCAAAAATTCTCTAAAAACCCGTGTCCCAGCCCCTGCCTCTCCTGATTCTGATTGTAAATCAGACAAGGGAGGTTTAATCCCAAGGTCTACATAAGGAAATGAAGACTATAAATCACAATCTTAGCCTTTTAAAAAACCCATTAAGAACCAAAGGCAGGGTCAGGAATATAGTTCAGCAGCACAGTGCCTACCTGGCAAGCATGAGGTTCTGAGTTCAATTCCCGGTACAAAAAAAGAAAAAAAAAAAGAACCCAAAGGAGCTTTACTAACACTTCTACGAGGGCCAGAGAGAGGGACAGGATGTGCTTGACTGAAGTTGCTCAGGATGTGGTGGATGGGAGACTCCTAACTTTTAAACCAGAGAGTTCTAGCCTGAGTACGCCTTCCTTTCTCTTGCCAGCAGCCAGTGCTGGGCCACAAGGTGACTTGGGCTGCTTACCCTGGCCAGTGGCCCTGTGGAGCTCCTCTGCCAGGAGGCGCTGGTTGATGGACCGCAGGACCTGCAGAGTCAGCCGCACGGCATACTCCTCCCCATAGTGGGTGATCAGCAGAGTGGCCAGCTTCACTGGCCTGGCCATTTGGAGGTGGCCCCGGGGGATCCGGGTGTGCTCCTTCTCCAGGCTGGTGTTCTGCAGCTTGAACTTGAACTTCTCAAAGTCATAGGGCACAAGCTCCTCCAGAGTGTTCAGCAGATGGTCACTAAGGGTCTTGGCCATGGTGCTGACCAGGAGAAGCTGGAGCCAGCTGTCTGGCTTCTGGCAGGATAAAAAGCCTGCTGATAGGAGCCTACAAATGAGCAAGCAGCTTGTGAAATTATGGAAAAGGAACAGGAAATTCTCTGTGTTTTGGTGGAACTGAGACTAAGGGCATGGGCGTGTCCACTGCTCAGGCTGCTACATCCCCTCCTTGTGGATTCAGAGAATTTTCCAGTATGGAAGACTTCACCTTCCCAACCATGTGCCCAGAACCCTATGCCGAATGGCAAAGAGTGGATCTGGGGATATAGTTCAGATCTTTATTTTCTGCTGTCCATTGCTTTCAGGACCCAGGGCTGGTGGAGGGGGTGGCCATGCTAAAGGTCAGTCTCTCTGCCAACTGCTCTCCTCCAGACTCTTGGAGTTCATGGAACCTCCAGGGACAATATCAGCAGGGACCAGCAGCAAGTACAGCCCCACAGGTTTTGCCTTGGCCTTCCAGGAAAGGAGGGGAGGCCAGAAGAGTACTGCTAGGGAACAAGCACTGTTGTCACCCCTGTTGATGCTGTTCTAGTCCATGTCTGGTTTGTCCAGCAACATGAATGCCTAGAAAACTGATATCCACGACTACCATCCTGGTTTTTCTGTGCCTGGAGCTGACTTGGCCCTTGTTCCCTGAGAACTGGGGTGCTTTTTTGTGCACATTTTAGAATCACATGTTCTAGGCACTTGCCAGGATGCTGGAGATGAAAAGATGTCTTTGGAGCTCATCACCCAGGCCAGGTCCCAGAGGTGGCTCCAGAGCTAATGGAGGTTGCATGAGGTGAGGCTGACTTCATTACTGGTTTCTGCCCTTTTGCACACCCCAATTTTCATCCTCAACCATTTGTTTTGAAAATTTTGAACCTACAAAAAAGTGGAAAGTGCAGCAAAATGAATACTTAAACATGCCCCTTACTTAGATCCACCAATTGCTTACATTTTTGCAGTATTTCCTGTTTTCCCTCTCTGACACTTATTTTTTCTTACTCATTTGGCAATAAATTGAAAATATCACATATCACTTGAAATATTCTAGATCCCCTAAATAGTATCTACCGTGATACTTTTAAAATGATCACAATATAATTACCACACTCAATAAATATTACATTGTTACAATACAGTAATTATTCCATAGTCAAACTTACCAATGTTCCAATGATGTCTTTCTACTATACAGTTTATGGCTTTTTATTTTCCAACGCAGGGTCTAGAGAATGTGCTTTTTTTATTGTCCAAATTCTATAGTTTCCTTTTATCCATAAGTTTCACTTCTTCAAATTTTTCTCTTTCAAGACATATAAGTTTTTAAAGATCCATTCCAAGTAGACTATCCCTCAATGTAGATTTTATCAGGTTAATAATATCCCTTAATTATTGTAGGCTGATCAGGTCTGTAATCTCTTGAATGAGTGTATGATGAGGGCTACATAAAAAGAGGCAAATGGAATTTCAGGGCTCCAGGAGGATCAAAGCCCTCTCACAGAACTTGAGATTCTCTCAGGGCTAAGCCCAAAACTTTCTCTGGGTGGCCTCTATTTATTTGGTTATCAGAAGAAGGGAGGGGAGTACTCAAGAAGGGTGGAATTAGTCAAGGACTTCTCCAAGTAAAGTATTAAATTAAATTAAATTAAGTTAAATTAAATTAAATTAAATTAAATTAAATCCTTAATAAGGATTAAGTTAATCAACCCAGAAGTGAGATGTCTGAGGCTATGGTCTTTATTTAGTTGAGATGCATCCAGGTGTTCTTGGCTGTGATCTTGTCTTATCCTTTGAGGCTTTACAGCTACAGGTTTTAGTTGGGACTAGTGACTCACAGAAGTTCACTTACTATGAGTCCACTGCTCACTTCCAGACAAGTGGCCTAGGCTTTGGACAGATTCACAAGTAAACATAAAAAGCCAACTGGTTAATTTAAGTCCTGCTTGGGGCTGCTTCATAGTGGTCTCCATCAAGATTTCTGTTATTGTTTATCATTAGATTGGCACTGACATCCAAGTGTACTCAAGATTTCTGCAGTATAAAAAGATTTTTTTTCTTTGTAGTTAATAAGTGACTTAAGCATCTGGTGCTGTCTTCTCCTAAATCATTCTCCCCATTCCTTTATCAAGTCATTGATGATCCTTCCTTAAATCAATTATTACAACAGTGATTACAAAGCAGTGATGTTTCTGTCAGCATTATTTGCAAATTTTGGTTTAAACTCTCTGTTCTCATGAAATTTTTGGCTAAAAGATATTCTGTGGATAATACGAGTAACCCTTCAACAGCACTTACTCTGCACCAGGGACTGCTTGTTCTATAAACATTATCTCTTTAAAATCCAGCCCTGCAGGGCTGGATTTATTATCTCCACGAAGAGCCAGGAATCAATGGCTTCATGACTTGCTCAGAATGAGGATACAAACTTGCTCTATTAAACCACCTCACAGCATTATTTCCTTCCAGGATTATAATTCATTATTTTACTCTTTATTACTGATGTCATTTTTTAGCTGATGTCTGAGGCTCAGAATGGGCTACTATCACAGGCCAGCTACCAAATTCTGACACCTGCCTGGTGTATGAGCACCTTTGGGATGACTAGCTTTGTTGAGATGACAAGGCTTTGATGAATTCTGGTTAACAGGATTTAACTGATTCCCTGAAAGGTTCATGTGCTTCACACTTCACAGAGTAATCAGTGCTTTGGGTTTGTTTTTTGGTTTGACATGCACAGTTCATTGGCTCTAATGAGAAGATGACCCTATTTTCTCTAAGAAATGGGTAAAGCGAAATACATATTTATGGTGCTGATGGTAGATGTGTGAAATTCTCAGGTTAGGCCACAGGTTAGTCTTGCTGTGACCAGTACCTATGTCAGATTTGGAAGGCTCCCACTGCCTTCTAAAAAAAATGATGAGGTAGTAAAGTAACAGGCATGTTGCCATGGGTTCCTGTGTACCCCTGACCCTATCTTGTCTGGTCAAGAAACTCCTCTGAGCATCTATGACAGAATAAGGGCAGGGAATGGGGCTTTCCGCATAAAGCAGGATATTTCACAATTGCAGTGGCATCTTTTGCAACAGGGGCAATTCTGAGGCAGTGTTTTGATGCTTTTGGGGCCTTTTTAGGTAAATGAGGGGCCTTTCTAGGTAAAGTCAGGCTCATAAAACTTTTGTTTATTGAAGTTCTGGTGATTTTTTAAAATGAAGAAATGTGGAAACATGATTGTATCTCTTGTGATATATTTTAAGTGTTTGACTTAATACTGAAAGTGGAGTGGAGTGGTAATGAATGCTTCTTTCTTATTTCTCTCTCACCAGATGTGTAATTTTATTTGGGTTCAACATGATAAAACTAAATCCAATACAGTTGCTGCAACCCTCTGCTCTTACTCCCAAGTATATTCTCACATGCCTTGCTTTCTATTCCATGTTTGGTCACCAAGAGTTTCCCTTTCTATGGCATTCATTTCAGTATCATTTTTTCCAGTACTGAGGATCAAACCCAGAGCTTTGTACATGGTAGGCAAGTGTTCTACATCCCCAACCCCATTTGTGGACTTTTACAAAGATTATTATATTACTTTTATAATATAAAAATGAGGGGATGGGGATTTAGCTCAGCGGCACAGCGCCTGCCTGGCAAGCGCAAGGTCATGAGTTCAATTCCCAGTACCGAAGAAAACAAAAAACAAAACAATAAATAAATAAATAAATAAAAATGATAGTTTGTTTAAAAAAAACCATTTAGAATTAGTTTAGTCTCTCAGGGACTATCTGTCCTGTTCCCTAAAACATAATAAGGGAGGTTTATGGTATTAAATATATTTGTCCTTGAGAGAATGAAAAGAATGGTTGGGGAAGCTGTTGATCTAGAATTGAGAACAGTCAGTCCCACTGTGACCTAACTCCCCCTTGCACAATCCCTAAGACATTTAGTTTTAAGAGCAAAGTCTGAGACTTTCAGAGGCTAACCATTCAAGTTGGAAGTGAATTACCAAGCAATAAACAGATGCTTTTCTTAGAGTTACTCAAAGGCTTTTTCCTGGGTGAGCAAACTGGTAAGAAATGCCTGGTGGTCTTTCATAGTTTATCTGCCAGCTGGCTCCTAACTCCCAGCACCAGTCCTCACTTTAGCATCAATATCATGCTTTGCACCATACTTGATAAATACAACATTTAGAAGCTAAAAGGATAATTATTTTCTTAACTTTTTTACTTTAGTTCTGGAAATCAAACGTAGGGCCTTACGCATGCTGGGTAAGCACTCTATCACTCAGCTATATCCCCAGGTTATTGATTCTTTCTAAAATGCCTCTAGGCATGGTGATGCATGCCTATAATCCCAGTACATGGATTCTGAGGCAGGAGTATTGCCGCAAGTTTGAGGACAGCCTGGGCTACTTAGTGAGTTCAAGCCCACCCTGAACTACACAGGGAGACCCTGTCTCAGGAAAACCAAAATAAAATAAAATGTCAAAGTCTAAATGTCTGTGTCAAATGGTCTCATTAAAAGACAAACCATCCTTTGCTGAGTCAAAATGAGCAAAACAAAATGGCAGCCTTGATGTGCACAGATTGGGTGATGGGCATAAGCAAAGGCCTAGACTCGGTAGGGCTTGAAGGCTGTTCATTGTAGCTGAAGCCTGAGAGACAGACTCAAAACAGAACTATAGATCATATTTACAGTGCTTGTGATATATTATATTCCAGGTCTTCCATTTTGGGTACATGTCCTGCACACACCCTGGTACTGTGTAGTGAGCCCAGGACGTCTGCATTGACCTACAGAAGCACCTTTTTTCTCTTTGAATATTTTATTCAAGGTCTCACTAAACTGTTCAACTGCCCAGGATGGGATTGAAATTGTGATCCTCTTGCCTCCACCTCCCAGACTGCTGGGATTACAGGCATGTGCCACTGTTATGACTTTTATCTAGATGTCCTTTCAAAGCTTCATGTGCTCCTAGGTGAGGCTTTTCTTCTACGTGGCTGGATCTAGGGTGTATAAATGTGGATTAAGTGTGTGTGACAACTAAATTAGTCCACTGATTGGTTTAGCATAGTTCTAGGTGTGGATAATGGGAAAGCCCACTCTGGGTTTGGGTGGAACCAGTCAATGGGCTTGTAGCCTGAATGGAATAAAAGGGAAAGGGAGGCTTCCTACCTCCTGCCTACCCTTCAATGGACTGTTTCTCCTCTGCAATGCTCCTCTTCCATGCCACCCTGCCTTGGAGCCAACAGACTATGGACTGAAACCCTACAAACTGTGAGCTAAAATAAACCTTTCCTTCTTTTACTTGTGGGTGTTGGGTATTTTGTTCCAGCAACAAGAAAGTACATAAGACAGCCACCATGCTTTCTTTCTTTCTTTCTTTCTTTCTTTCTTTCTTTCTTGCTTGCTTTCTTTCTTTCTACTAGACAAGGAAACCTTGGCTTAGAGGTAGGTTGACCTACAGATTTGTATGGCACCAAGATGCAGTTTGCCAGAATTTAGTACTGGAAGCCTCTTCTGAGAACTCTTTCAGTCCTGGGAAAACTAGAATAGTTGGCCACCTTCTTAGGGCTGTTAATTGACATGCTAAAAACAAACACAGCTGGGAAGGAGCAGCTCATTCATTTAACTCATATTTATTGAGACTCTGCCATCTGCCAGATGTCATTCTATCTGCTGTGGCTACAGAAGTAAATAAAATAAATCTCCTCCCACAGTGCACTCTTATGGAGAAGTGTGGGTCAAACATAAACAAATAGATATACTATGTATTATGAGTGATGAGGAAGTTGAGAAACCCACAGCAGAATAAGGAAGTTAGTGAGTACAGGGGACTAGTATTTTAAATAGGATGGTTGCAGAAAGCCCTGTGCTTCAACAGAGACCTAACAAAGTGGAAACAGTGAGGCACAAATTCATTTGGAAATGAGTGGGTTTCAGCTACTTCTAGAATTGGTGTAAAGGTCCTAGAGGAACTGCATGTTTCGTGACTGAGGAAAAATATTCCTTAGAGAGGGAGCTGGATGAAGTGGGGCTTCCAATTCACGATAAGGACTTGGCTCTTCCTCTAAGATGAGGAGATGCTGGGGAGTTTGAGCAGAGCAATGACATGGTTCTGACTAATGCTTTTAAAAGAAAAGCTAACTTGGGAAGGAAGAAGAGACAGTAGAGGAGAAAAGGTAGAGTAGAGAGATGAAAAAAAAAACCACACACAATCTACTCCTAGAACAAGGGCTGTAGGGCCTTGAACATGCATGGAAGTATCAAATTCTGGTTAATCCCAAAGGTAGAGCCAACAGGACGGTGGACGGATTGGATGCTGAGGATGAGGCTGGGGTATAAAGAAGCACCAACACACCACTGTTTTTGGCCAGATTCTATAAAGGACCATTTAGTTACCTTGAGAAGTGGGTGTTGAGTCCTGCAGGCAATAGAACAGTATTGTAGGATCTAATCCTCAACTTTGGCCAATCTGCCTACCTAGTCCACCTCAGATCAATGAGCTTTGCTGCTCAGGTCCCTTCCTGATAAGAATCATTAATAACTCTGCTTCCAGTTAACAAAGCTGTGGAACAAAATACTGCCTTCTGAGCAGGATGGAAATGGAGGGGCAAGAAGTTAGCTTTCCAAAGTAGGGCACAGACACCAAGGTGGAATTGACTCTGCCGAGGGGTTGCATAATGGGGCTGTCAGTAGGTCCCCACACTGCTCACCAGTTAGGGCTGCATTTGCAATATGGTAATGTTAAGGAGCTTTGTAAACTATAAAGTGCTACATAGGAGTTATTCTGATTGTTAAATCAGAATGTGATTTAATGTGATTTAAAGTGGTGAGAAAGTGGGTATTCATTTTACCTTGAATTATATTTATAGTTTTGTAATTAAAACCAAAAACCAAAAACTGGACCAAACCTAGCCAGGCTTCGGGCATACAGTCCCCACAGCTTAAGGGTTTACAAACCAGTGAAAGCACAATCATAACAAAGCCCAGCTGCCCTATGCCAGGAAGGCACTGCTCCCTTTGAGGTTCCGGTTACTTAATCCGGTCTCCTAAGGTGCTCCTTTCTGCCCGGTGCTTCGGTCATTACCATGAATCACCGTTTTGAAAGTGCTTTTGAGAGGTCTAGAAACTGCGTGAAGTGACAGGAAATACGAGATGCAGCCCTGTGATTCAGGCGATGTACCCGCCGAAACCGCCCTACCGGACTCTTCTCAGCTCCGAGTTTGTCTGGGAAATTCAGAGAAAGTAAGCAGAAGTGCCTGCCCGGTGGGGAGTGACCCCTAGTTTCCCCTTTTGGGATCATGAAGCCTGGCTACCAGCCAGGCACCTGGTCTTCGGCCGGGTCTACGCAGCGCCCCCGCCCGGTCCAGCCTTGCGGTTTTCGCGCCCGCGCCGCCGTGGTGGACCTCAAGCTCCCCATCACCCGAGGGAAGCGGCCACACGACGCAGGGAAGAGGCCGCCGATGAGATGCAGCGGTGCGCCAGGGCAGGCTGGAAGCGACCTGTGTGCGATCCGAACCCCGTTCCCCCGGGGAGCAGCAGCCGCGGTAATTTCGGGGTTGGGGGGGGGGGCACGGAGAGGCACCCGGTCATCCGAGCACGTACGCAGGCGACGCCAAACCACATCTTCCAGGAGGCCTCCGGAGCACGCCGAGACAACAGGCAGGAGGGCCAGCTAGTGAGCTCACCAGGGCTGAATCTCGGGCGCCGAGAAGTGGAGTTAGTGCAGCTCCTTAGTGCTAGGAGGCTCCCGAGAGCCTCCCAAATTAGCCTCCTTCATTCATGTTTACAGCACCGAGCTGTAAACCAACTTACTGCGCCAAGTGTGAGGGACGACACACCCGTCAAGATCCTGGCCCCATGACGTTGGTCTTCTGGAGAAAGGAAGATAAACCATAAACAGGCCAACAGTACTTTCTAGTTATGATAAGAAACTGTGGGGAAAAAAAAAAAAAAGATCATCAAGAGGAACAACAGCACTGCTATTTTCTAAAAGAACAGAAACGGACTAGAACAAGGTTTCCCAAACTGCCCCTTGGAACCTTAGACTACAGGCTCTAGATTTCCTGTCTTGTGATTTCTTTTGAAAAATTCAATAAAATGCTTTGAACTATAGAAGTAATGGTTTTGCTCAGAAGAGCTCATGTACAGTTACGATTTCTTACATTATTTTGGAGGATCCCTGGACTTCCTGGGGGTTCCTTGTAGAGATCTCTAGGCATAAACACCTCCCAGGCCAAAACAAGGACTGCTTTTTATTTGCTTTACATACTGGATTGTCAAGAAAAAGACGTAAAAAGAATGTGTCATGTACATGTACCAACTCCCCATGATGAATGTAATCATGTACTACAAACATGTACTAATAAAAATAAAAGTTTAAAAACAATCAACTTTTTAAAAAGCTTCCTTTGATCCAAGTTTGAGTACTACACCCACTCTAGGGCGGGTAGCCTGCATAGACTATAAGGGAGGAAATGAGGTTTGCTACTCCCCCTTTGCTCTTGTTGCTTTTGCTATCTTCTGCTGCCATGAACTGTTGCCCCTCTGCCACCACACCCTGCTCAGGAGTCAGCTAATTATGGACTGAAACCTCTACAAACTGTGAGCTAAATAAACCTTTCATCCTTTAACTTTTGAGTTAGGTATTTGTCTCAGAGTTAGGTATTTTCAGGTATTTTGTCTCAGCAAGGACAGAAAACTGAGACACTGAGGGTTCCTCATAGAGATCTCTAGGCATAGACATCTCCCAGGCCAAAGCAAGCCCTGCTTTTCATTTGCTTTACATAATAGATCTTCAAGAAAAAGATATAAAAAGAATGTGTTATGTACATATACCAAGTTCCCATAATAAATGTAATCATGTACTACAAATATGTACTAATAAAAATGAAAGTTTTAAAAAAACAAACTTTTTAAACATTTTTTCTATTTTTATTTTTTATTTTTGTCTTTTTGAGACAGGGTCTCACTATGCAGTTCAGGCTGGCCTTGAGCTCACTTTGTAGCCCAGGCTGGTCTCGAACTTGCAACGATCCTCCTGCCTCAGCCTCCCAAGTGCTAGGATTACAGGCGTGCGCCACCATGCCCAGTTTCAACTATTTTTTAAAAGCTTCCTTTGATCCAAATTTATGGCAGCTCATAAAAAAGTTTAGAATACCTAGGTAGATAATCCCTTTTTCTTTTTTTTTTTGTTTTTGATAATCCCTTTTTCTAATTCCAACATTTCTGTTTAAATCCTCCCCACAATTGCTTTTTTAGGCTGGGCATGATGGCACATGCCTGTAATTCCATCATTCTGGGACGCTTAGGCAGGAGAGGATCACAGGTTTGAGCTCAGCCTGAGCAATTTAGTGAGAACTAAATTTTTAGTATGCAAAGGGTATAAGTATGCAATTCATGGAAAAAACAAAGTGCCATCAAGCATTAAAAATGCTCTCCAAGTGAGGAGAGAAAGTTTAAAAATCAAGGAGATATAATTTTTCGCCCATCATATTGGCCCAAATCAGGGAGGTGTTAAACCCAGCATTAATGATCTTAGGGGGATAAAGGCATTTTCACAGCCCATGATGGGAGTTAAATTTGTGAAATGTTATTTATTTATTTATTTGGTCTTTTGGACCAAATAGGGGTCTCGCTCTGCAGTTCAGGCTGGCCTTGAACTTACTTTGTAGCCCAGGCTGATCCTGAACTCGTAGTAATCCTCCTGCCTCAGCTTCCCGAGTGATGGGATTACAGGTGTGCATCACCGTACCCAGCTTTGTGAAACCTTTCTGGAAAGCAATTTGTTTTTGTTTTTGTTTTGGTACCAGAAATCAAACTCAGGACCTTGCACTTGCCAGACAGGCTTAGAAAGCAATTTGGCAAAACTTTTCAAAACTAAAAATGCATCTTCATTTTGATTCTTGGAGTCTATCCTAATGAAGTTATTATTATTATTATTATTATTATTATTATTATTATTATTATTTGGGGGTTTTGAGACAGGGTCTCACTGTATATTTCAGACTGGCCTTGAACTCACTTTGTAGTCCAGGGTGGCCTCAAACTTGCAGCAATCCTCCTGCCTCTCAGCCTTCCAAGTGCTGGAATTACTGGCATGTGCCACTGCCCCTGGTGAATGAAATTATTAAATGTACACACGTATGCATGTCTGAAGTGTTGGTTATTACTGAAGTATTGGTTATTAAAGCAAAACACTGGAAACAATCTAAATGTGTATCAGCAGAGAGTCAGTACAGCTGTGGCACAGCTGTGCAGCACATGCTGTACAGTTAAGAAAGGCCTACCACCCGGCATGGTGGTGCAGTTCTGTAATTCTGGCACTCAGGAGGTTCAGCAAGAAGACTGCTTCAAATTCAAGGCCATCCTGGGCTATGAAGTGAGTTCAAGGTCATCTTGAACTACATATCAAGACCCTGTCTCAAAAAAAAAAAAAAGGCCCATGTGTCTGGCCCTAGATATATGTGTATATTAAGCACATCACAAGAAGACTGTTAGAATGCATAGATTCCTAGATTCGGGAGAAGTTAGGTGGGGTGATGGAAAAATTTCTTCATTTTCTTTGAATACATCTATTTCTTCAACCTTGTATAATGTTTGCTTAGTCATGTATTGCAGTTATTCTGTTATCTATTGTTACTTTAGAAATATCCCCAGATTGTAGCACTTTCTGGAAAGCCCCCAAAAGGGTTCTTCTTGGGAAGGCCATGGTGACTGCAGGGGGCAAAATGTACTGCTGCCAGCCACCTACCACTTTCTGGCCTTTAGGAGCCAATTCTCCTGTCTAGTCTCTATTTCCTTGATTTACCTATATAATGTTCTCAGCACACTGTGAAACCATCCATGTAGATTCTGGAAGGTCATAACTATGAAAATCTTAAAGTCCTTCTGCAGTTTCTCTCTGCTTTACAATTATGACATCTTAGATAGGACTTTCTAAGAAAGAAAAAGGGATGAGGTCTCTCCTAAGGGGTCTTTTAGTCTCCCATTCCTATTGCTGGCTTTAATAGCTATACACTTACTGAACAATTACTGTATAAAACCAACAGAATTGATTTTTAAAAAACCAATGAGAAGAAAAACCCACAAAAGCAGAATACAACTTAACAAGGATGCTTCCAAAGATATGCAAATACTTCAGAGGTCCACGACTATTCTAGAATCCTTGTTTTTCAGGGCTTTTAGGTACCTAACAAGTTTTATCAAATATGTCTACAAGAAAACTCAAATATTTCAAAACATATATAGAAAATTCATTCTAAACAATGTAAAAAAATGAAGGAAATTTTCTTGAATAGCTAAGGCAGTTCAGCAAGTCTCTAAAAACATGACTTTCTGGACATATTGAAGAGTTTATGTTTTATTAATAGGGTAGTGTGGATCAAGGAGAAAATAAAATAATATCTGCAATGATAAATTATTATGAAATCAATAGTGAAGAGAATATTTCATAGAAAATTATTGGATGTAACTAAAGTTACAATCAGAATAAAATTCATAGCCTTAATGCTTGTCTTGGTTACTTTTCTCTCGTTGCTGAGACAAAATACCTGATGCCCAAAATTAAGGAAGGAAAGGTTTATTTAGCTTATAGTTTGTGGAGGTTTCAGTCCATACTGGGCTGGCTCTGAGGCAGAGTGGCACATGGCAGAGGGCAAATGTTCATGGAGGCAGAACATAGCAAAGCAACAAGAGCAAAAGGGAGGAATGGCAGCAAGCAGCTTGTTTCTCTCCCTTATATTGTAAGCAGGCCACCCCTACTCACAGGGCATGTAGCACTCACACTGACACAATGAACAACATCCTAGAGCAGGAAGGGTGTGTCCTTTTCCCCCCAAGATGGAGAACTGCTGAGTCACTTAGTCAAACCTCTAGAATCCCCAAATTGACACAATGTATCAACCATAACAATCCACCCCTAGGTAGTGCCCACCAAAGAGAAAATAAAATAATATCTGCAATGATAAATTACTGTGAAATCAATACTAAAGAGAACATTTCATAGAAAATTATTGGATGCAACTAAAATTACAATTAGAATAAAACTCATTGCCATAATGCTCTTTACCATTAACAACAAAGAATAAAAATATGCTATTTGGAAGTTTATCATGTTTAGGGCTTACACGTAATCATATTTCATTTAGTCTTTATAGTATCTGTGAGGCAGTAGGGATTTTTGCCCTTACATTTAAAAAATACTCATAATTAGACATAACCATATAATGTTCTATATGTTCCTGGTTTCCAAGTACTGTATGACATATTTCTTGATTCAATTTTTACAAATATTTAGTGTACATAGGACATTTAAGGATGAAGGATTCTGAGCTGGAACTCTGCCCTTTGTTATTTTCAGTTAGGAGATTTCCACATTAAAATTGCTATCTGAAATGAGTCAGTTGAATACCAGCAAAAACAGTGTTTGTTTTAGCTGAAGTGTAGAAGTGGATTATCTCCATTTTCACTAACACTATGTAACTGATTCCAGTAATACAGGCCAGTATGCTAGCTTCCTCCAGTTAGTTCTTCTGTGACCATTACTTCCCTCCAAGTACTAGCTGGCAGCCTCTTTCCATACTCTTTTCTCTCACGCTTTATTTCTGACAAAGTTTACTGGTCTGCCATAAAACTAGGATTAGTAAACTGTGATTTAAGATCCAAATAGAGGAAAATGTTTCAAACATTATCAGACAATATTAGCAGATAGTTTGGCTAATGTTGACCCAAGGGAAAATTTAAATTTTAGCACATTTTACCAAAATATAAGTAGTGGACCATCCGACCCCAGCAACAGCTGTGGGGCTGCCTGGGCTGCTGCCTATAGGACCCAAACTACTTTTCATTGTAAAGTACCCCCTAGACACCCAAGTGCAAATGTCCAAAAAGGGCAGCTGGCAGAACACTTGGGTGACTGTGGCCTGGAAGAGGGTTGGTTGCTGGTATTACCACTGACAGAAGGCAGAGTCTGCCAGGTGCCCATTAACACGTCAGATCACCTGCAGCCACAGCAGCAGCTCTTTGGTGCTCAGACGGGAGCAGGTGGTGGACCTGACATATTCACATCACTTAGGATCTAGGGCTAAGCCCGCAGAGGCGTACACGCACGCTGTGCAAAGGCTAATCTACGTGCCCCAAACATGGACCTAGGAACGTGACGAGGACCTGATTCACTGCTTGCATGACCACCTGGGCAAGGAGGATGAGAACCTGGGAAGTGTGAAGCAGTACATGGAGAGCATAGACATTTCCTCCTACACAGAAGAGTTCAGTGTGTCTTGCCTGACAGACAGCAATGCAGATACGTACTGGGAGAGCAATGGATCCCAGTGCCAGCACTGGGTACCGC